AAGTGATGATATTTTTATAATAATTTTTTTAAAAAAGAAAAAGGGGGAAAAACAAAATGTAACTAAAAATGTAAAATAAAGAGAAAAATAACTAATTCCCACCCCCACACCTAAATTTTGCATTGTCCTCAATGCAAACTCTATGATGCATAAAGTAAAGCAGATAAGAAGTGAAGCACTTATATTTGGTCGGCTGATAAAAATCTGTAATTACCTTTGGTCTGAGGAGGATGAAAAAAAAATTATTCTTTTTTTTTCTTTTTTTTTTTCTTTTTTTTAAACAACTGAACAAGAAACTCTCAAATGAGAGAAGAATAAATTCTTTTTATTATTCTGAAATAAACAAAATAATCAATGTAGAATGAAATATTCAACATGAAGAGTTCATGTTCTACATTGAATCCTACCTTATTGCTGAAAATTCTCCCACGGATGTTAAATAAATTCAACATGATATAATCAACAATGTGCTGAAATTCTAAGCATTCCGGGGTGTTCAATGATTTTTGTGGCAATGGAAGGTAGGTATTATTGGTGTCATGCATATTGGACTTAGATTCTTGATTTGTGAATGTTTGTTCTCTAACAACCAATTTTTCTTTAACAATTTTCTCAACCCCAAGATTCATGGTTGATGTGTAAAAATTTGGTTGTTGTTTATTTTCCAAAAATCTTAGTTCATCAAGAAAGAGTTTTTCAAAATTCAGTTCAAAACAGCAATTGTCCAACACAGTTTCTTTATTTTGACAAACCCGATCTGCTTCTCCTAATATTTTTAGCTCCTCACCGAAAATTTCCTCAAAACTTAGATCTGACTCTTCTTCTTCTTCCCCCGGTCTTTCCTGAATTGAATTATCAGGGGAAGAATGAATTGGGACAAAAATTTGGCTTAAAGGTGTTCTTTCCTGATTATCGACCTGTTTTCCTGACTGTAGTGCATTCATTTGAGTGTCCTTAGGATTGACCACGGGTTGACTCAAAATTTCTCCTTCCTCTTCTTCACTTATGGCACTAGCTAGTTGATCAATGTGGGTTTCTAATCTAGCTATAGCTTGAGTGTTAGAGCTAAGTATGAGTTCGATTGATTGCATAAAGGAGTTCATCGTGTAGGATGTTTGAGTTAACATATCCATGACTAGTGTGGAGGCCTTAATTATGATTTCAAAACCTTTTTCCAAAATATTGAGACGTTCATCATGATCTGTATCAAGAGGAGTGTGAGTTACAACTTGATGATGAGGAGACTGATTTTGATGTGACAAACTGGGTTGTTGAAATTGTGAATGAGAATTGAACGGATCAAAATATTAGTAGGATTCACCAAGTGATTTGAGCATCTTGATTTGGTACACACTTAAAAATATTTTTAAGGGCAAAACCCCATAATCAAGATAAGGTGAGGGATTTCATCACCCTTTCCTTAGCCCAAAAATCACTAATTCCTCACTACACCACCCAAGCCTAATAAAACTCATTAGACGTTGGCCCCTAAGGATTCGAGCTCAATAAGGAACAAGAAATCCTTAAGTGAACCGGTTTAAGTTTTCTCAGATTAGTTGGTGTCTAAGGCAATGTTTAGGGGTTGCGTAAAGCGCTCCGCAAGGAAAGATGTACTTAATTGATCTTTGATCACCCTCTAGTACTATCCTTACCTGGCTAATTACCTGGGTAAAATTTTGAACTTTTCACTGTAGGAGTTTTTGGTTAGGAGCTGGTCTAGTTGAGTTAGGCTAAACCCTAGAATTAAAAGCAACTAAAAAGGATGGAAAAGAAAAATCTTTTTTTTAATTAGGGTTAACAATCAAACAAATGAGAAGGGGAAATTTGTTTGAATTTATTATCTTGTTAGTAAATGTCAAAGTGGAGGATGAATTTTATTATGGTTAAAAAAAATAAAATCCTTTCTTTTTTTTTAAGTCCTAATTGTCTCTAATTGTGAAGAAGTAGCTAAATGGTGGAATTAAAAACTAAAAAGAGGACTTACCCGAAAGCAAATCTTCAAATCCTAGCTCTCCAATCCGTGATCTTCAAGCTCCAAGCGTTTCCTTCACAAAAAACACACAAGTTAAAGAACCAAAATAATTAAAACCTACTTAAACACGTTCCCCAGCAACGGCGCCAAAAACTTGATGCAGCATAAACATGTACCGAAAAGGTTGCAAGTGCACAACTGTGTCAAGTTATAGTATTTAAGATATCGATCCCACGAGGAAGGTATTTTGTAGGAGAAAATATAAAATCGGTTCTTATGTTGTGTGCGTGACAAATAAGATTGGTGAGTGAATATGATTGTGAAGAGATTGAAAGAGTGAAAGTGGTGTGTAAATAGGTGCAAAGTGTAAGTGAGAGTGGATGTAAAAGAGAATGAGTATGATTCAATAAGGTGAGAAGGAAAAATGAATAAAATCAAGAAACAAATAAAAAAAATCAAGAATGAAGAACAAAATTCTAGAATAAAAAAAATTGTAAGAAATTAAAGATGGTGGATTCAATTATAGATATGGGTAATCTAAAATTGAACCTACTTCTTAGAAAAGGGCGATTCCCTAGAGGGTTCTAGCCTAAAGGTGAATCAAACAAAATAAAAATAAACAAAAAGAAAAACTAAACCCAAGAGGGTTCTAGCCTCAAGGTGAATAGTACAAGAAATTAAAAAAACTACAAAATAAAATTATAAGAATTAAATACAAAAAAATAAATCTACTCTATAAGCATAAAATAAATCTAAGGCAAGAGGGTTCTAGCCTCTTGGCTATTTAACAAGAAAATAAAATCTAACTACAAGCATAGAAATAAATCTAAACTAATAAGCACTAAAAGAGAAAAAGAAAAGAAATGCAAACCTTCAAATAATTCTCCATCTTCATCTTCGTCTTCATCATCCAACAAAGAGAAGAAGAGAAAAATTTAAAGTGGTGAAAAAATTATTATTATTAATTTCAACAAAAAGTTATAATTTTGGAATGCCTTCTCAATTAAGAGTAGTCCTCCTCTCCAAAAGGAGTTACAAAAATTTTCACACCCTTAACCCCTCACTCTCTACCCCTATTTATAGTAATATTCAATGAATATGAGCCATTGGATTTGTCTTGAGCCCCAAGCAACAATCTCTACATTTGAATTTGCTTTTTGTTCTTCTCTAGCCCAAACATAGGAGGCCCAATTGATTTATTTGATTTTCAAAAGAAAATCAAAATCCAATTAATTTCGGTCCAATTCAAATGAATTTCAAAATTAAATCAAGAGCAGCTGGTCCATGAAGAATTCAAGAATGATTGATGGCCCATTCAATTATCTACAGCAACCGAAAAAAATATGAGCCAAGTCCGGCTCATGAGAGTTCTACAGCAATCAAAGAAAATATGAGCCATTCATGTGATTTTCCAATGCAAATCTCCAAGTCCGGTCCATGCAATCCACATTTCATTTGAGAAAATCAACAACCGACCCATCTTGCATCCATGAAGAAAATTCTGCAGCAAACAAGATTAAAAACTAAGTCTGGTCTTCATTCTTAAAGAATTCATCTTTGGTTTTCGGCCCAATCCTTGCATCAAGCCCAGCAATCCAAGGTCCAGTCTTGATTTTCAATTTTTCAGCAAAGCCAACAGTCTGGTCCACTTGATCTTGAAAATAAAAATTTAAATCTCCACTCAAAGCTGCAGCAGCAAGTCCGGTTTCCCAATTCAAATCCAGCAGCAACCACCATCTTCATGTTTCAATTGATTCCGGCCCATTGAAGAAAATTAAACTGCAGCAACCCAAAGTCAAGAGCATCGGTCCATGAAGTTTGCAGGCCCATGAAGTTTCATTTCTTTGAGAAAGAAAATGAACATAGCAGGTCCATTCATGATTATGCAGCACAAAGTCCGGGTCCGGTCCACTTTCATTTCTTGTGATTGAAATTCAAAACTGCAGCAATCAATATGTATTTGAATTTTGAAGTCCGGCCCACTTGCACACAATAAATCCCAAACCTTGAGAATAAAGAGGATTTGTGCTGGCTTATTTTTGTGGGCTTGTGCATTGTAACATGATATCTTGGAGATCATTTTCTTCACTTGCTCTTTGGGCTTCAATCATTTTCCTCTTTTAAGCTTTTGCTTCATGGGCTTCTAAAATGCTACAAAATAGAGAAGAGAGATTTTGAGGGGTTTTTATATTTAATAATATTTATTTATATTTATGTTCAATTATGTGGAAACTAAGCTAACAACAATTATTAATGGTATATTTATTCATGTAAAATAGATAATGAAGATATAAAATTGTAATAAAATATGATTATCAACCACCCAACTGAATCCTAGATCGGATTCCAAATAGATCTCCTATCCACACGAGCTCCAATGGCAACTCCTAATGTTATCTCCACCGAAGCCTAGAACTCCAAAAACCAAGCTTCACACAAGAATCTTCCTCCACCGAAAAAACCCTAGATCTGAAATTTGAGCTCTGATACCACTTGTTGCGCGCAGCGAAAATTTTGGCAGCGCTTCGACAGCACAACAAGAGAGTCAGGTCACAATAAGAATTCCCGTCTCACCAAGGAAATAAGAATCTGAAGCGAATATCTCAACAAAGTGAGATATCGGCTCTTCCTCTCATTAGTTCTAGGACTGACCTGTCGAGGGATCCTAAAAAGCTATTACAAATCACACAAAAGCAGTACAACCAATTTTTACGTGGTTCGACAAATTGCCTACGTTCACGGGGAGAGGATGGGGAGATTTCACTATATGGAAGAGAAATACAACGGGTTACAACTCACAAAATCACTCAAATATAACCCTAACCAAAGCTCTCTACTCCCTCACAATATCTCCCTCTCAAAGTGCTCAAAACAATGCTAATTCTCTCCTCCTCTTCTCTCCTTCAATTGTTCCATATATATAGAAATCCTAAAATCATAAACATACTAGGAATTCTAAACCAAAAGCCAAATCAAATTAGGAATCCTAATAACCTATTACCAAAATAAGTTAGGAATCCTAATAACCTCAGGAATCCTAATAACCTCATGTTACCAAAATAGATTAGGAATCCTATCCAACACCGATCACATCATTTGTTCTGATAACAGGCATATAAAAACACCAACCACCTCACAGTCCAGCTCCAAAGATGGGTTGCTTCGAGCATGAAAACCCTCTGCGCGCTTTAAATGGCCTACTTAACTCATCTAAATCAATCAAGGATTTTCTCCCCAGTCGAGAACAAGTTCCAGACTACAGTTCCAAGTTCCAACGATAGAGGTCTATAGAGACTTTGAAGACATCATCCCAAGAACCTGAAGGTCTTCACACGTCAGTATGTAAAAAGGTTTAGAAAAGAAAAAAATACTCATGGATCAGAAAGAGCGAGGATCTGACCGTGTTGCAAAATGTAGCATGTTGCTGCTGTCCTAAAGACACCAGCTAAAACTCCGGCAGTGTTTGAAAGGCCAAGCAGCACACCCTGCAAAGATTACAGAATCAGAACATTATAGCTCCTTAAAAAAGTTCCTTTTAGTGACGATAATTCATTTGTCAGCTAGTTATTCCAGTAAAAACTAGAAAAGATAGTGAATAGTTATACCAATTGTAGAAGTGAGTGGTATATGATGAGAATAACTCATACTCACAGCATAACGAGGTCCGATATCATGATCGTTGGAGTGTAGTCCAGACTATGAGAATGCATCAGTTCCCTATGTACAAGTTCATGTGTCAGAAGATCTCATGGTTTTTAGAGAAAATCATATAGGAGCAAGTGCCAAAGAGCTCCCTGAGTCTATGTGAAAACATTCTATATGGAAGTTACACAAACAATGGAAACAGATACAAGAGAATAGACATAGTTCCAAATCTAACAATCAAAATTAATGTAGAATATGTCTTAAAGGTAATATTCTACATTTCTATTGAAATCAAATATTGAGTTGTAGAAATTGGACGACAATATGTTGCTGAGGAAAACACAAATTAAATTATCAAGCACACATAATTGCAATGAGAATCCAATGATATTTGTACATTCTATAATGATCAGAGAGATAGTTTAGAAAGAACGTGTTTATTAGAGCTCAAGGGTAAAAATTGGTAGCTCGGTTGATAAAGTGATCCTCAAATTTCTCAAACAGTTAAAAAAAATCTAAAAAACAGAAAGGCAAATATCCTATCAATTTAAAAAATAATATTTTCAAGAAAAATTTAAAAAATCTAAAAAACAGAAAGGCAAATATCCTATCAATTTAAAAAATAATATTTTCAAGAAAAATTTGCAAATAAAAGAGAGTTTTGGGGTTTTTATATCCTATCAATTTAAAAAATAATATTTTCAAGAAAAATTTGCAAATAAAAGAGAGTTTTGGGGTTTTTATTCTATACTATTGGAAGAATTTATATTTGTGCTTCCCTCCATCAGGATTCCATCTGAAACATAAAGAAAAAGATTGCATTAAATTCAACAACAATATTTTTCAATTAGAATCAATTTTCAAGTTAAAATCACAATGCATCCCAAAATCATAATTCTCACTCGTATTCACAGAAAATACTTCTCCTGAATGATTTTTGGCAGTGGCCGAAAAATTTTGTTTCTAATTTCATTTAGAACTATTTGCAAGAAGATACAATTAGAATAAATTGATCTTAAACTCTCTACAAGATTTTGAGGGATGAAACTATATATTCAGATATCTAGGGCTAGAGATCAAAACTTATAGGCGAATTAGAGGGTTACCTTGTGATTGGACTCCGACGCGGAGGCCGATGCAGCGACGAGGAGGATGACGACGAAGAATCGAAAAAAATAATGCATCGTTGATTGAATTGGGGGAAAATGCCCTAGCTCAAAATTTTGCCTCTTTTTATTATTAATTTTTGATTTTTTGATTTTTTGGCAACAAATGAGAGATAGAACGAAGGACAGAGGGGAGAAAGAAGAAAACTTCTCGGAGATAGGGGCGGATAGGAGAGAGGGGGATCTTGGAGAAAGAAGAAAACAAAAGCAAAATCCTTGTCTGAGTTAGGATAGAGAGGTGATCTCTTTTGGGTTTACAGGGGGGATCTCGAGAGGGGAGTTTTTTGAATTTTGAAATCGATTAGGGGGAAGAACGTGGGTAGTAGGAGATGAAGGCAATAGGAGAGAGATGCGGGAAGGGAGGCAATAGAAGAGAGGGGAAATAATGACATGGCTCCTTTTGATTTGTCCACCTAAGATTTACTGTTCATCATAACTTTTTTGTTGTTCTCCTTTAGTTTATAAGTAGTATATATATATATATATATATATATATATATATATAATAGATCCAAAAAGCCAATTGCTTGCTTCTCAAAGAAATAGAATCATAGTGGGAATAGATTTCTATATGGTTGATTATGTCAGCAAATTAAATTCTAGTATATGTGGGATTCCTAATCAATAAGAATCTTTAATTGATCAAAATTATTTTCAAGTTAATTAGGTGTCAATGTCCTTTTGCAATTAAGACGTTGCATAAACCCATCTTTGGAGCTGGACTGTGGGGTGGTTAGTGTTTTTATATGCCTGTTATCAGAACAGATGATGTGACCAGATCCTCATTTATACAAAAGGAGCGAGTTCTCTAACACCTGACTAATTTCAAGAGCTTCCACTAGCTGAAGGGATAGCGGTAAAAGAGAATGCAAACCTCGCAGTATCGATCAATCTTGATTCTTAAAGCTTCAGAGCTACAGATAACCACACCATGTTTTTTGATGTATATTACTTGACTAATTGAGAGTCGTGATCAAGCAAAACATTACGATGTATATATGCATATACATCTAAAGGTAATGAGATTTGTAAATATACGCAATGCATAAATAAGACATCCTCACGCTTGCACGCGATTTTAGACACGGCAAGACTGCTGCATTTCTGCCATCGGAGCTCATAGGGGCCAAGCATTTTCAAGCCTTCATAAAATGTGTTTTAAAGCGTGTGGTCATTAGCGGAAAAGAAAGGAAGAGTTAGTCGCATGCATAAACCAGTTGGTTGGGGATGTCACATATACAAAAAAAAAAAAAAATGCGGCTGATGGATGCTATCATCTAAAAACACAGACCCGAGTGCTTTTGATCATCAGATTGCTGCTGTTGTACAAAGTACAAACTTGATCCCTCGTTGCTTCCAGCATTACAAGAGTGAGATTGCAGCAGATAATCCGGAGCTCTCCCAGACCTCAACCCCCTCCATAATCTCCCTGCTCAAAAACAGACGACCCCCCTCCGCCTTCCATCATCTTTATCCTCCCCCTCCTCGCATCCTCTTCCTACTCCAGCTGTGACCAAACCTCGAGCCCGTTCTCCTTACTCACAAACACCTACTTCTTGTAGCAATGCACCACGCACCCTCCTCCTCCTCCGTCGCTTTATAAAGTACTTTAAGGAGTTGTCCCATTTTTTATTCCTTTAAAAAAATAAAAATAAAAAAACTTTCATTAACTAGATTGAATTAAGGAGTTGTCTAATTATGAGTTTATGAGAGTAACTAACGAAACTAAAAGATTGAGAAATTACCTGAGGATGCCGAGAGATGATCCTTCTTCCTTGGCTTGAAAATTGGGTTTCATGAAGTTGGACTCAGGGATGCGTCCGTTCTTCGCTTGAGACTTGGGTTCAATTGCAATTTTTTTCAAAGATCGGCGAATGATATTTGGGATACGAAGATGGAGGAGGAATAGAAAGTAGCGGTTTCGGTTTTGGAGAAGATGAGAAAGGAGCGACGCTTTTGGGGAGGGAAACGTGGGCTTTTTTGCATCTAAGTCCTTGTTCTATTGAAATTTCAAATTAATGCCAAATCTTAATTGTTATTTTAGCATTTATTGCTAACTAGTGTGAGCACCGTGCAAAGCACGATATATATATATAGAGATTAATGGGTATCCTTGTCATAGGAGGGGATTTCCTCCTTGACGCCTCTAAAATCACATGATTGAGCGACATTGTGGATGATCCGCTCCGTTGAACTTGATCTACATATTCTAAAACCCCAACACACCAAGTTTGGGGTGAACCCGTCATCGTTTGACCCTTCATCCACTCGTATCAATTTTAACAGTTTTGAATGAATAGAACTTTTCACATGACTCGATGGAGGGTCAAACGACGACGGATTCACCCCAAACTTGGTGTGTTGGGGTTTTAGAATATGTAAATCAAGTTCAACGGAGCGGATCATCCACAATATCGCTCAATCATGTGATTTTAGAGGCGTCATAGGAGGAAATCCCCTCCTATGACAAGGATACCCATTAATCTCATATATAGAGATTAATGGGTATCCTTGTCATAGGAGGGGATTTCCTCCTTATATATATATATATAGAGAGAGAGAGAGAGCAATCTTCGGATGCGAAACATTTTCGCACAGCAACAGTGCGAAACTCGTTTTGTGCCGTTGGATTTAACGAACGGCAGATGAACCATTCCCAGACCCTCACCCCTATTAAGAAAATACAACAAACTCTCCATTGGTATCAGGCTGTTAAGAAAATACAACAAACTGAACCAAGGGTATATATATATATATAAGATGTGGGTTGTTAAGAAAATACAACAAACTCTCCATTGGTTCAGTTTGTTAAGAAAATACAACAACAGACTTGCATGTTCTTCTCATCATTCACAACAAACTCGCAGCAAACTCAAAACAGCAAGCTCAAGGCAACAAACACTTTTCAGCAAACTCAAAAGATATTAGGGAAACAATTTTTCAGCAAACTCAGAAAATACAACAAACTAATATGTTGCTCTCCCTTCTTCGTTCCATCACAAAGAAACAGAGGATGAGAGCTCTCCCTTACTACTCTTAAAATGCCTCGAGCAGCTCTCAACACTGGTCTCCTTGCATTGATCAAGAATATTTTCGTAGAGCTACTCACTGCAAACAGAAGTTTACGGCATTAGATTCTGATATTTGGCCTACAAAAACTTAAGCTTAGCTAAACAAGAACCTAGATGAACAATACCCCATCGAAAAATTATTTAACTTATCAAGAGGGTATATTGACACGACTTGCATCTTCAGGTAATACTGGTTTCAACTGTCAAGAAAGGGATAAACTCATGCTCAACTTCAGACAATCATGAACAGAAAAAGTCAGTTTAAATGATCATATACAAAAAAAAGAGAGTCAATATTTGAAAATTTCAAGATATATAATCACCTGATCAACAAAACCCATCAAACAAAACCCACACCTTTCCCATCAGTAACATACCAATTCCCCCAAAAACACAAAATTTAACAATAAAAATCGAGTAGGATACATCACCTGAGGCGCATACAAAGTCCCCTGCGCTCCATTAACCTCAATAACCCATCTTCACAATTATTTAGAAGAACAATCAATCAATTTTCGCAGGATTCAACTCGAACTCACACGTCTTTGTAATTCATGTTTTACGACCATCTACATTATCATTATTGAGAATTCAGATCCAGTAAATAGCCTTTTTACGTTGGGAAAATTGGAAATGAAAGTTTGAACTGTTGAATTAGAATTTAAGAGAAAAAATGGCGGAGTTGAAGTTTCCCTAAATCAAGCAAGAAATAAAAAACGCCTAAAACATCAAAATTTCAACATCAAAAAACCCTAAATCAAGCAAGAAATAAAAAACGCACCTGATTCAAGACTCTCTCTTGTCGTGGCGGAGTGGTCGCTGGGGTTGGGATCGGGGTCAGAACCGGAGATGGGGTTCGCGTCGTGGCGGACTGGTCGCTGAGGTCGTTGGGTCGGGGTCGGAACCGCAGTTGGGGTTCGTGTCATGGCGGAGTGGTCGCTGGGGTTGGGGTCGGGGTCGGGTCTGGCTAAATGGCGGAGGAGGAGATCGCCAATGGCAGATGATCGGCGGCGGTGCTTGGGGTCACGAGGAAGAGAGGGAGAGGGAGGAGGCGAGAGAATGGGGAGAGAGGGAGGAGGGTTTGGGGGCACAGAGGAAATGAATAGGTCGTACAGTGGGAATAGGGGTGAGGGTCTGGGAATGGTTCATCTGCTGTTAGTTAAATCCAACGGCACAAAACGAGTTTCGCACTGTTGTTGTGCGAAAATGTTTCGCATCCGAAGATATATATATGTATAGATGTATATATATATGTATATATGTATATATATATGTATATATGTATATATGTATATATGTATAT